TGTGGTTGTGGGAGTGGACTCTGTGGTGGTGGCTGATGTAGTCGTGGGAGTGGTCACTGTGGTAGTGGTTGTCCTCGATGTGGTCTCTGTTGTTGGAGTGGTCTCTGTGATAGTGGTTGACGTGGAGGTGCTAGTAGTCTCTGTGGTACTGGTTGTCTGTGTTGTGCTGTATGTGGTCATAGGTGTGGTCTTCGTGGTGGTGGTTGTTGGTATTGTGGTGGCTGTAGTCGAGGGAGTAGTCACTGCTGTGGTGCTTGTCTCTGATGTACTGACTGTTTTTGTAGGAGTGGTGTCTGTGGTGGTGGTTGACGTGGTCATGAGAGTGGTCTCTGTGGTGGTGATTGTTTGTGTTGTGGTAGATGTGATTGGGGTAGAGGTTTCTGTGGCAGTTGTCTGTGTTGTAGTGGGTGTGGTCATCGGAGTTGTTTCTGTGGTAGTGATTGATGTGATTGTAGGACTGGTCGGTGTGCTGGTAGTTATCTGTGTTGTGGTTGTAGAAGTGGTCTCTTGTGTGGTGCTTGTCTGTGTTGTGGTAGAGTCAGTCAGGGTAGAAGTCTCTGTTGTGGTTCTATGCGTTGTGGTGGGTGTGGTCTTGGGAGTTGTCTCTGTGGTGGTGCTTGTCTGTGTTGTGGTGAATGTGGTCGAGGGATATGTCTTTGTGCTAGTGATTAATGTGGTTGTGGGAGGGGTATGTGTGGTGATGGTTGTCTGTGTTGTGGTGGCCATGGTTGTGGGAGTGGACTCTGGTGTGGTGGTTGTCTGTGTGGTGGTAGAGTCAGTCAGGGTAGAAGTCTCTGTGGTTGTAGCCTGGGTTGTGGTGGGCGTGTTTATGGGAGTTGTCTCTGTGGTGGTTGTCTGTGTTGTGGTGGATGTTATCTCTGGTGTTGTCTTTGTAGTGGACGTAGGAGTGGTCTGCGTGGTGGCGGTAGTCACTGTGGTAGTTTTGGTGAGGGTAGAGGTCTCTGTGGCCGTTGTCTGTGTTACGGTGGGTGTGGTCATGGGAGTTGTCTCCGTGGTGGTGCTTGTTTGTGTTGTGGTCAATGTGGTTGTGGGGTTTGTCTCTGTGGTAGTGATTAATGTGGTTGCGGTAGTGGTCTGTGTGGTGGTGGTTGTCGGTGCTGTGGTTGGTGAGGTGGTGGGAGTGGCCTCAGGTGTGGTGGTTGTCTGTGTTGTGGTAGATTCGGTTAAGGTAGAGGTCTCTGTAGTGGTTGTCTGTGTTGTGGTGGATGTGGTTGTGGGAATGGTCTCTGGTGTGGAGGTTGTCTGCATTGTGGTAGATTCAGTAAGGGTAGAGGTCTCTGTGACCGTTGTGTGTGTTGCGGTGGGCGTGGTGTTGGGAGATGTCTCCGTGGTGGTGCTTGTTTGTGTTGTGGTGAATGTGGTTGTGGGGTTTGTCTCTGTGGTAGTGATTAATGTGGTTGCGGTAGTGGTCTGTGTGGTGGTGGTTGTCTGTGCTGTGGTAGCTGAGGTGGTGGGAGTGGTCTCAGGTGTGGTGGTTGTGTGTGTTGTGGTAGATTCGGTTAAGGTAGAGGTCTCTGTAGTGGTTGTCTGTGTTGTGGTGGATGTGGTTGTGGGAATGGTCTCTGTTGTGGTG